ATTAAACGTGACAAGTATCCCATGGCAACCATAGAGACGCCTAGCAGGCATTCGACAAGAATTATAATTTATCTCGTTTTCAATAAAATTACCTTTCGTTGGATGCCCCATTCATTAAAATCTATAGCTTCTGAGAGCATGAAAAGGGATCCATGCTATTATAATAGTTTGATATATAGTGTATTGCAGATTCATTTTTTCACATTCGGTATTTTTAAGCGTGTACCGAACTTCTAAGCATACGACCATTTACACACAAGCACGAACCTGAACATTTTCTATAATTCTATATTTCTTCATAAGTCTTCCCTCCATTAATGATGAACCACTGAATCGTTAAAGAAATTCAAACCGCACTCGATGTAAATGACAGAAAAAAGTGAAAGGTGGAGAGTAGACCCCTTACTTTCTATCGCCACCTACGAACTCGACTGACACCGATTTCGTGACTATTCAATGAGTCATGAATGATCTCTTTTTCCTGTTGTAAGCTTTCTTCGAGAGAAAGTAAAGTAGCTTAGAAAGGAAATTTTCTCTTCTTGTCAAAGACGCCACCGTAATTTTAAGAACCTTTCATTTCACTTTCATTCAAAATAAAATTTGAACTGAGTCATTCAAATTTCAGAATAACTATGCACAGTGGTCTGAGAGCGAGGAAAAAAAACTATATTTTCAAGGTGTTCTGATAATTCAAATTCCCTATGTTTTAAAAATATAAATTGACCCATACATTCCAACAGTTAAGGAACGAATAAAAATACGGGTTTCTATGATTTTCAATACGGTATAAATAAAAAGCCTGTTTATACCAAAATAATTTTGCAACTTGTTACATATTATTAAATATATACTTGGTTTTTATTGAGTTCTAAAAATAATTGTTTGTTTTGTGATTTGTTAAAATGAACCAAACAATTTTTTTTTATTAACAACTTCTAAAAATTCATACTTCCATAGGATTAGTTGTTACTCAACAGATACTTAAATATCGTGTTTCCATCGGGTGGGTCAACGCTCAAATAATTGGTCTGACTGTAATCAAAAAATTTGTTCAACCCTGTGCTAATGATGAATTAAAAAATCAGCTGCAGTTACTAGTTGTTTTGGTAAATATCTAACGAATTCAGGCAAGAAAACTTTACAAAAATTGGCAAGATAAAAATCGTATCTATACATACAGGATGAATCGTAAGTAGAAGAAAATTTTTATAGTTGTGATAGCATACCTCAAAAGCTAGAAAAAAGTTCATATAAACAGTGGCACGGACGGATCTACGAGGGAAAGGGCTTTGGGGCTGAAGTCTCCCAAAATGCTAAAATGTAACAATGTTTTTTGGAAAAAAAATAATAACTAAAGAATCATTTAGTTTAAAAAATTAACAATTGCTTCACTGTAAAGAAGACAAAATTTACTTCAAAAGAAAATGGAGTTTTTTATTGTTAAAACCATTTAAAGAAGACTTTTGAGCAGCTGAATTAAGCTAAGTTCTGTTTTTAAAAAAATTATAAATTATTCCAGATTTTATTTTATCATTACCCAAGTATACTACAGATACCCAACTTATTCGTTCAATAAGCACGAAGTTTGTATTAAATAAGTTGAAGTTTATCAGGGAATAATTTGAGAGTCACCTCAAGTTGAGTAAAAAAAGATGAGATCTTTTATTCGGACAAGTATGAGTGTCCCTTTTTTCAGCAAAAGGTACTACAATTAATTGTCGTAAAACTTTTATTTCTTGTTTTCCATTATCTGGGATGCTTTATAATAAATATAATTACTTAGATACACTTTTTATTTATAAAATAAATAAATTTGAAAAAACAAAAATCAAATACTTTTCATGTAAAATGTTTATGAAACAGTTTTTCATTCAGATGTGTATTACATAAATTGATTCGTATTTATATGAGACAAATTAAATATTTCTGGTTCCAATATTAACTTTTTCATAAATATAATTGAAGAAATTAACAAGTTTCTTTATTTTAAACGTACATTTTAGGACTACAAATATTTATTTTATCACTCATAAATATGCATAAATTCCTATAATATAATATGAAAAAATCGAAAAAAAACACTTTACATGAAAAATCATTATTTTTATAGTTTTCCTTTTTATAAATAAAAAGTAGATTTAGGCAGGTATGTTTATTATAATACATCCCAGGTCATGGAAAAACAACTAATAGAAGCTTTTTAACAATTAATTGTAATTTTTGCTGGAAACACTAGTACTTTTAGGTGACTGATTACAAATTCACATAATTTCTTACACAACTTGAGGTGAATCTAAAGTTTTTGCCTAATTAATCGTCAATTTAATTAATATGGATTTAAAGCATATTAAACGTGGAAGTTTTTCTAAAAGTGGGGTAACTGTAGTATAGTTGGATGATGATAAAAAAGAAAAAAAATCGGGACAAATTTATGATTTTTTTAAAAACAGAACTTGACTTAATTTAGTCGGATTATAAACATTGGCAGATAGCAGTCGGACGCTACCCGCTATTAAATAAGTACCGTAAATTTTATCTAATTTAAAGTTGAGCAATCGTTAATTACTTAAATTAAATATTTCTTTAGTTATCGCGTCCTATTCAACAAAAAAACACGACATACTTAAAAAAACACATAACTTGGACTTCTGATGAAAATTAACTTATTGTTTATATGAACGTTTTTGTAGTTTTTAAGGTTTGCTATCACTAAACTTTCCTTCTACTTACAGCACACCCTGTATGTAAATTTATACCTAATAAAATTTATTCCTTTCCGTCATACAAAACTGGAGAAAAGGCATAGAAACAAATAAACTAAAAAAAAAAAAATTGAAAGGTACAGATTCAAGAGAACTTCAAACAAATTTTGTGACTCAAAATTGATACGGGATATTGTTTTCAGCTTACTCCCATGTATTTAAAGTTTTATCTTCATTTATTTCTAGGTAAATTTTCAGTGTTCTAATTATCACACTTATTTTTCGAGTTTATCTGTGTCCTATTGATAGTAATGTAGGTAAAATATTTTTATAATTGATTCAGTAGATAAATTTTCATTTTTACAACTTATTACACATAAAACATATTTTATTTATTGATAAAAAACAAAACAAATCATAATAATAACGGTTGTTCATACCAAAATGATTTTAGTCTATATTAATCCAAGGCCTGACATGCTAAAAAACATTCCATTTTTCGGATATCTTGTCCAAATTAAAGATTTCCGAAGGTTTTTACCGTTTTTATGCCTTTCGACCACTGCGTAGGCAACAGAAGCAGAACACAGGCGGTGGAAACAGAAGAAATTAAACAGATTTTATTTTGGACTAGTTGGCCTGTGCGAATAATTATAGAGTATATGAAATGGAAAAATTGATTTTCTGTTCTTCGGTCGACTACTTAATGGTTAATAACAAATCTAAACATATGTACAAATTACAATTGTTTGAGTCTTTGTCAAAAATATTTCAATTTCGATCATTTTTTTTATGGGGAGAAGGGAGGTTTGTAGGAAATAACCTTTCATGTTTTCACGGATATAACTTACCACGAATTGTAAACTTTAGAATTTTACTCAAATAAAAGTTCCTTTTATTCCTGTCTTTTCTTGGATATTTGTACTGAAATATGAATATTCTTAATCCTTGGATGTAATGATGAATTGTCAATGCCGAGAAAAATACACCTTTGACAAATACAAATTTTATTTCCGTCCATTTTTTAAAAAATACCATGGTGTTCTTGTCTGATAAAAAAAATATTCGGTGTACTATTTTTTTTGCAAGTTGTCATTAAATTAATTGAAAAAAAAATCGAAAGTAAAATTTAGTAAGAGGGCCTGGTGTGGATATATTTCTGAGAATCCTAAATATAAAATAAATTTTAAAATATGTGTTGTTATTTTTTAAAATTAAAAATCTAGTTAAAAAAAAGTAGATAGGATCACTTATTATGAGGATTCAGGGGTGGATATGTTTTTGAGTTTCTTTGAGATTTCTAAAAATTAAAAAAATATTGATAAATTTTATTTTTAATAACGTTCTCTTCTGATTTAAAAAATAATTAGTAAGCGGGACCCAGGGTGGACCGTCCCCTTCGAGCTTTTTATATTTTTCTAGTTAAAATAAATGTAATAAATTCGAAGACTGTCATTTTTAACGAAATCTCACATACAGAAATTTAAAATACCCATTCTAAATATATATTTATTTTTTAGTAGATATATATATTTTTTAAATGCATTATAGAGTTAAAAGAGAGTGGTTTTGATAGAGGTGTACTTCACACGGATCAGTACTTTTTGAATGATTTTAAATTTTAAAGTTTTGAGATTAATGATTAGAAATAGTTAATTCAATTTTAACTAAGCTAGGATTAAGATTTATGATAAATTAAGGAAAGTTTTCATTTGGTTTGCTTCCTTACGGATTATTTATTTAGGTAATTAATGGGTTATTTTTTTAAGAAAAATTACTGAATAAAAATAATATGGGCGCCAAAATCTGTAGGGTGGGTCTAAGGCCGAAAATCTCCCCTGACTATTTTCAATATGCTCAAAGTTAAAATACTTTTCACAGTTTATTAGTATTAGATGAATATAAACATTTATATGCTTACAGCTTGCAAAAAATCATAACTAACCATTTATATGTTTGGGGTCTATTCCAAAGAGGGTCAGAATTTTTTATTGTTATTCGTTCTTCATATATGGTGAAATTATTCTTACTAATTGATAACACATTTTATTAAAGAAAACAAATATTTTTAAATCATAATTAATTTTAAAAATAACTTTTTTGTATTTTTGAATTATTAATCTTCATCGTTATTTACTATAGAAACGATATGGAAAAAATAAAATAAAAAATAAATAAATACAAATAAAATTCATGTTTGTATAATTTTTTAAATACGTACTCTTGGCTTCCCTGGCCGGAGGTGCACAAGGGCCCTTGTCCAGATAGCACCTAGTGTAGGCGTCCATCAACCTCTTATTATTCAGTATCGAGTCGACATCGACAGAGTCGAAGTGGACATGGTACTGCGCGAAGACCACCAGGGCAAAGCTGAAGATGACCAAGAGCTGGAGGGTTGAGTTCATCTTTCCCAGAAGGTTCGATGTAGACTAAGTTGAAGAAGGAGGTACGGCGCGGATGTCGGTTGAAATCGGCCCCGTTCGTCGCTGCCCGATCTAAGGCGATGTTCTTCACATTTTTTAAATTAACAATTTGTCTCATTAAATACACAAAATAAAATTCAATAAAAACGTACTTTTTTTTTACTTCGTCAAACCTAAACATGGAATAAATAATTATAAAAGTGAATGTTTTACAATTATGAAAAACTGTTATTTCCCAACGAGAAATCTGACATAAACTATTCTTCTCTCTAATGCATTTGATGTATAGGCGACAGCATTGGAACATGTTTATTCGTAAATGCAATATAATAATATCAAGATATTCTATTCAACCCACACAAGCTTCATACTTCACTACGACTGTTGAAGTAACAATTTGCTTAGTAAATTATTAACCTCATTATTTCTAGGGATAATACAAGCCATGCTTGGATTTTTTTTTTTTTTTGTTTATTAAAAATAACAAGTTTCCTTCTATATTTTCCTCAGTCACCAAGGGATCGTAGAGTTATTCTCCTCCAGCAACCTTTTCAATCGATTTTAGTTAGTCGAAAACTACTGTAAACAATCAGCGGATCCAGGATTTAATTTTTTTTTGGGGGGGGGGGCTTGAGCCAGAAAGCTTTTTTTTTCATAAAAATAACGATAATTACTTTGGAAAAAAAGAAAGAAACTAACTACCTATATGAAATGGCGTTTAAGTGATTCCTAAAGTCCTTTTAAATGTAATTACACGAACAATAATACTTTAAAAGATTTTTTTTTTCCATAAACCATGGTTATATTTTACCATTTGGGGGAAAAGGAGGGGTTAAACCCTCCTCAAAGCCCCCCCCCCCTCCTCCGTAGATCCGCCCGTGTAAACAGTAATATTTTAATTTTTAAAACCTAAATAGGTTATGAGTTTATCATGGCAACCATACCACCGAAGAGGATTTTGGCAAGATCTGAAAAAAACGGTACATTTCAGGACTTTAAAGTATTTATCCTGTATCGATTTGTCTGCTTTTAAAACCATCTAAGTTTTTTTTTTCAAATTCTTCCAAATTTATCAATGACTTCTATTAAAGTTTAATTAAAATTTAAGGATCGATTCGTCACTTCTCCATGGAATTTCCTTTCATTCCATAGCTCCTGAGAGCCGGAAAATGGACGGACTATACAACCGTAGTACATACAGTACAGATTTCGAATCCCGAACTTTCAACAAAACTAGCGGACCCCAACGGAGAATCAAATTTTGTCGGCTATAGAGAGATGTCAGTTTTAGAGAAACTGAAAGTAAAACTGTATTTTAGGAAATTTCAAATTTCTTACGAGCAATTTGTAATTTTTGTTTGAACTTTTAGATTAATAATTACTTTGGTTTTCAAATTGACTTGGATGGATAAAATAAGCAGAATTCTCTTATTGCCTTTTTTCAAAATGAAATTTTCTTCAACCTACTAATTTGTGACAGAGCTTCTTCATCGAGGGTTCGTTATTCTGCGGATTACCTGTTTTTGAATGATAATGTTGACATTTTTATGGCATTTAATAGAAAGTAAATGTCTGGAAGGAAACTAAGTGAAATTTTCTTAGACAATTTTATAAAGACAACCAGCGTTTGACATAATCACCATCATGCCCCAACGTGTTCGGCCATATCGTCCTTCACGTAAACGGGTAAGGGATTAATTTAAATTCATAGTAATTTTTAAGTTGTTACTAGTTTTTTTTTTTGCGGCCAGCAATTCGACGGAAAATGGTGTAAGGACTTTTAGGAATGGCTTTTAAAGAAGGTTAAAAATTTTAAAGCAAAAGTGACAAGCTGCAATGGCATCACTCAATTATTGATTGAAATTTTACGTTAGTGAGGTTTCTGCCAATCATTCATCTAAAATTAAAATAATAAAACTAGACAATAAGTCATTAATTATATGCTCATATCATAAAAAGGCAATTTTTAAGTTTAAGACTTTCATTTTATCTTTAATAAAAACTTAATTACACAGATTTAGTAATGAATTATTATATTCTATATAGCGTCATTGCCAGTAAACGAAAACATCTGGTGCGCGCAACACACTACTTTCACTTACCGCGCTACTTTGAATAGAAATTATTTTATGGCAATATTGGGAAATTATAAAATTTTTGAAGTGTATTTTTAACGGAGCTACAGCTTACCGCTTATAGCTAATAAATCTTTAACTATAACAAAAACCCTATTGATTATATTAACGGTAAACAATAAAAACCTCGTTCCTCCAACACATTATTCCGGTCTCTGAGCTATATATATATATAAAATATATAATGTCTAGAGAGATTTGAAAATATATCTGGATATTCAATCAATAAATGGTAATGGATTTTACGCCTTTTAGTTATTAAACTATTTTCCATCGTAAAGTTTATTAAAATGAAATTACGAGATTTTCATTGCAATGGATAATGTTGGGATTTCACAAAGGGAAAATTCATCAAATTATTCACTAATTTGCTTTTCTAAAAGGTTACATGATGGTTTTTCGGAATAAACGGACGTTGACATCTAATTATTTAAATATATCTGATATAGAATTATTATACAGTAAATGTATTTAAGATTATAAACATACGCTTTATACATCAATGAAATATTTTTTTAACAATGCCATTGTCTTGAATAGGTGGATTTTAAATATTTTTTAAACTTAAAAAAATTAAAGTTTACATTTAGTTAGTAAATTTCATTTAATGTTTATTTGTTAATTATTATTTGTAATTTTTCGTCACTCTCCATTACCTACAACAACTTCTTTCTGAAACAGATACAAAACTAAAAAAATCATAGGCAAGCAGGAAATAAGCAAAGAGGCCGAAGTTAAGGTATCACGTAATACGGTTCGTAAGTTTCCGGCCCGCGAATGAAGGAAAAGTGAAAAAATTGAGTGAGATGATCATTTCAACCTCCAATAATGAAGAAGACTGAAGAACCAGAGAATAATAAAAAAATGTATTGCCTAGAGGTAACGGAAAAATAAAATAAATAAAGCAACATTTCTATACAATGAAAAAAAAAATTGTCTTCTTTGTTAGAAACATTTTCTTCCACCGCTTCTTGTCCCCCCCTTCATCGGTGTTTAATTTTCTTACGTGAGAGTCAGATTTTAACAAATCAATCGCTAAGGGATAAGCCTAGGCTATTATATGGATGAGAGATTTCTTGGAATCCGCAGTCCATCACAGCTGTCTTGATAAATTAATCAATGATTAAACGTAATCAATGCTGTATAGATAGATATATTGTCATGAAGAAAGCGAACATCTCTGCTCAACGTCTTCCAAATTTTCCGTTTGATGGCGTCTCATACTGATAAAGTTAGGACTGCAAAATACTCGCCATTCACTGCGGTGTTTTATTCATTACAATCAATGAGCATATTTCTCTTCAATCCTTAAAAATGATGCCTTCAGCGGAGGTGCTTCTCCATTCTATGGACTCCTCTTTGCTGAGTGGGTCATAGTGAAGTACCATTGGCTCAATTCAAGTTATGATTGAGTACACAAGATATTTCGAGTCAACATCCTACTCACATAAAAATTCATTGCAGCAGCGAACACATTTCTACTTGTTGAGCATCTGAAGAATTTCCGAACCTACCTTGCACACAGGCAAATCTTCTTTTATAATTCTCAGAATACTTGTTTTTGAAAGTCACAACCTTGCTGCTATTTATTTTGGGTCTCCCAAGAAACCTCGGGTGCCTCTCAAGTTATTTCAGAAGTGATAAAAGAAATAAGCTAGGATGGTAAGAAATAAGCATAACAAATAAATTGAATAAAACCACCTTTACTTCATAATTGTTGATTTATATGAAACAATTTGTCTTTTCTGAAATGCTGAGTCAATTAATGACTGTGACCCTTTTAAAAGGTGTGGTCTTCTACACAGTGGTTGCAATCCTATCCATTGTTTAGAGTATTCTAATAGCAAAATGTTGGATTTACATTTTTTTTTTTAGATCGTTTTGTAAATTTTACCAAGTTAAAGTGAAAGATACAGGGTGAGACATTTTTGTTCAAAGTATTCATATATCAAAAGGGATATCTTTTCTTAATTTTTATAGCCTTCTCTTGTAATAAAAAGAAAGAAATAAGGCAGATATCTGATTGCTATTACATTTATAGTGTCTATTAAGTTGGTAATGAATGAGGATTATATTTCATCTAATCAAAATCCATAGGATGTGATGCCTTCCTAAAAGGAAAAGTGAAGGACTTGGCTCCTTATTTTTAAAGGTCAAATAAATCAGACTCGAATACAAAACCAGAGTACCCACACCTCATTTTACTCATTAAAGAATATCATATTAAGATCTACATTATAATAAATTTCAATGCAATAGTAAAATATCCTATTTTCTTTTTTGGCTTCACTTTTGATAAATTTACGAACAAAATATTGAATTAATATAAAAGTTTAACATGCCAACACTTAATAACTCTGCTCTGTAATGTAAAGTACTTTGGCTCATCCGAGAAAACTTCAATCCTCATGTATTGAACAACTACACAATAAATTGAACAAAAAATAAATAATTAATCATTTAAATTTAGTTTAACTTTTGCTAATTTAATCATAAAGCACAATATTAACAAACCTCTTTTACGACCATAACAGGTGAAATACAAATCAAGTAATGAACAAATTTAGTTAAGTTGTATTTTCAAAATAAATTAGATCAATTAAACCTCACGCTTATACTTATAAATAAATGAACAAAGTAATTGTTTAAAAAAAATATTGCAATAATAATCAAAAGACTTAAGATTCCCATTTGTTTCAGAGAATATACGAATTTAAGCCAAAATTTTTGAAAATAAAAAGAGAAAAAAATATATATATTTATACATTTCTGTATTATAAATATAAGTATGTAGATATTATATTCACACTTTTTTTTTAAATTTACAAATGTACCTGACAGCATCACATGGAATGTCAGTTTTTCAAGTACCTACAACAAGTTCAGTTATAATTAACAAAGAATTGTTATTCATTCTAACCGGTGATGCTTAAAATGTGTGATGTATACAAATATTGAAAGATGATATTGTAATCTTATGTGG